TGGCGGGAAAATGGCTAATTCAAGAACCAAGGGAGGTAGAAGGCCAAAATTTTAGTAAACTTTGTTCACTAAAAAAAAGTTTCGCTTCAAGGGAACGAGCCTGAGCGTCGCACAAACTGTCCAACGGAGGGAGAACGTTAGTCGTATCGAGGCGGCCAGTTGGTAGCGCTAGTCGTATCAAGGCGTGGCGCGTGTTGGATTCGAGATTCTGACTCCCCGGGGTTTTCAGAAGAGGTTTATAAAGGGAAAATTAATGGAGGGGAAAGGAGGGCAAAGGGAGTTAGTAAGTGGAGATCGTAAGTAAAGTGTAACGTAGAATTATTCAGAATACAGTAGAAGTGTTAGGAATTAGTGAGTGGAGAAAAGTAGGTCAAGTACTTAGGATTATATCACAACTAGCAAAAAAAATCGTACCTTATGCAGTTTGCTCATTCCACGATAAACCAGCCGTACTTCCTTTGCATTTGTGAATATTTCTTCAAGTTTCTCTTTGGGTAACTTGAAATCAAGGTTTGACACAAATACAGTGTGACGCGCTTGAGCAGTATCTTCGTTTGTTTCTTCTGGAGGATTTGCAGTACGGCTTGAAGCTGCTGCTTCAGGTTTTTGCAGTTGTGCAGGAAGCTGTGGAACAACAAAACCATCGTCATCCACCTGTATTCTGCTACTCGATGCCTAAACAAAAATAACAAATTTTAAACTATTTGGACATCAAAGAACGCACTTCTATCTACAAAACACACCCGGGAACATCCTCTAATTTGCTGCACAAGGCTGAGCATTCAGGTCCAACACCACCAGGGGTTTATAAGCACCGAGCACAAGATCAGCACAATGCTCAGTACCCTTTCTAGGGCCTCAACTTGAAGTGTTTAGGTCGTGAGTGGGCTGGGAACATCTCCTCAAAATTTCAGCCTTTCAACTTCCCTGGTTCCCGAGTTAGCGATTTTCCCGCCAGGAATCTTCACGGGGTCGTGCGTGAGAACCACGCATACTATAAGAAAAGACTGCTAATAAAACCTGCAATAAATCAGCTCGGTCTACAAAACAATCAAGCCAAGAATCGTCGTTTCGTCAAAATCGAACTCGGGGTCTAGAATCCCCTCTCCCCCC